CTGGGGGCATCCACGAGGGAACACCCCAGGATGCAGGTGGAGCTCTGCATCAGCCTTTAGGTTTTCAGGCAGGGTGAGCAGCTGGGAACCATCCCGGGAGCTCCAGGGGCTCCTGGAGTGCCCAGGGGCACACTGCTGGGGGAGGAATACTTGTGCCGGGATGGAGGAGTGCAGGCTGCTAATGTGAGAAAACTTGTGACTCCTCCTCCTCTCCTCTCTCCTGCTCTGCCCTAGCCCTCTGTCGTGCCTGGGGATGTCAGAGCACAGTAATCACATCCTTTTCACCTTCCTGCTCCACTGCCACGGCATGACCACGCTGAGCTGTGTGCTCACAGAGAGAGCAAACACTTCGGCACCCCTTTGCCTCACCTCCAGTGAATTTTTAACCAGGAATAAAAGGTGTGGCATCAACAGCCTGGAGCCAGCCCAGGGCAAGTGGTGCTGCCAGAGAGGCTGGGGAGGTGATCCCTGGCACAGATCCCCTGCGAGTAGCCCCTGAGTGTTGTCCACAGTCCCTGCCAGCCCCAGCACCCATGTGCATCTCCCTGGCAGGCAGAGGCAACCCCTGCTGGACACTGGGCAGCTCTCCAAAGCAGCAGACTTTGCTTCCTTGGCAATCCTGGCCCCATTTGATAGCCACAATAGAAACAGCCAGGCCACGCCAGGAAAATGTACCAAATCCTCCCCCAGCAGGATTTAGCCGGGAGGTTTCCTTGGGCTGCCACTAATGGAAACTTGCAGAAAAGAGCAGATGGTAGCAGAGACTTTGGCCAGACTGTGCTCAGGGAGACTGGGGGAGCCTGGGTAGAATTGGAGGAGATTTTCCACATCTTGGCAGGGTTGGAAAAGCAGACAAGGGCTGCCACACCCTTCTGTCCCATGGATGGAAGCCGCATCGTGTCCCTGTTGTCCCCACGTGGGCAGCCCTGCGTGCTCCATCCGCGCTGAGCCGGGAGCCGGCCGCAGCTCCGTGTTTGTTATTGCTCGTGCAGTGTAACATTAACCCCGTGATGATAATTCACACCCTGCCTCTGAGGGTGAGAGCTGACCTGACAAGGGGCTGTGCAGGCAGCCAGCTGCCTGAGCTGGCCTGGAAGCGTTTTTACAGTTTCAGCTGGAAGCAGACATGTGATTGCCTGTGCCCGAGGCAGGACGGCTCCGCACTGTGTCCCCAAGGGCACTGAGCACAGATTTTGGCGTGGCAGCGAGCGTATTTGACAGGCTCAAGCCATTTGAGGCTTTACAGCACCAGTGGGTGTGTGCTGGTGGATGTGCCACAAACCCGCAGAGTGCCCCTTCCCCAAGCCCCTTCCCCAAGCTCCCCCACCAGAAGGCCTTTCCTGCTGCTGTCTTGCTCACAATTACTCCCAGCCTGTCAGCTTTATGAAGACGTATCCCAGAGGTTTTCCTCCGGGTGTAATTTGCCCTGACAGCCGCCTTCGTGCCGTTGTTTTCCTGTCTGTCTGGTAATGGGATTAGCCGCGTGCAGATCCGGAGGTGATGGAAGGGGAGTGGGGGCAGAGGCTGCCAGCTCCTGTTGCAGGGCATTCCGGGAGCTCCACAGGCCTTTTGATGGCATCACGCGCCTGGCAGCTCCCCCCAGCTTCTGCCGGGCTTATTTTAAGCCATCCTATAATTTTCTTGTCAAATTAGAGTTCCACGCTGGGTTGTGTGGTGCATATTTTACAACAAATAGTCTCGTCCGAGAGGGCCTTTGACATGCACAAATGTGGGCTGAAGCACGGCCAGGGAGGGAGATTTTGCAGGACTCGCAGTTGTAAGAGTGCTGGGACAATGCTGGACCGGGGTGTCACTGGCCCCTGGCCCACTGGTGCACCCTCTCCCCTCTGTGCAAGGGTGCTGGGGGGCTGTGAGAGCTGTGGAAGCCACTATCCCACTCCAGCAAGGTGGGGCAGGAGGGGGAGCCTGGAGCTGCTGTCAGGGCAGATGGGCTGGTCTGCTACATGGAAATAGCTGGTTTTTTCTTGCTGTGTTAGCAAAACAAATCTAAATGGGCTTAAGTCACCGCCCTGCCTGCAAAAATGCCAGTGGCTTTTCCAGTTGTTACTGCAGGAGTCACCAGTGGCCAAGATGCTTGAGGGAGATACTTGGGCAGGGAGCTGTGGCACACTCAGGAGCTCTTGACTTGCAACGGTGCCCCAGGAGCCCAAGAAACTCTTGGGGGCTGGAGGGACCTTGCACAAAATAGGGCACAGATGGAGCTGGTGCTGGCTCTTGCCCTGGCCATAACAACACCACCCAAACAAACAAATGAGACAGCCCAGGTTTTGCGAGGGCTGTTGCCGTGCGGTCGGGGAGCACTGGCGCCTGATGCTTCAGGATAGAGCCTCACCCACAGATTCCTATCTGAGGGCATTGACAGCTGAGGCATGCTCAGTCTAATGGTTAAATTAGCTGGAACAAGGTCTGCAGATAAGATAAAGCTGTGCTTTCCTGAAGAGGCTGCTCTCCTTGGCGCTGGCTGGGTTGTTTCCCTGTCAGGCTATGAACCTTGATTTGAAATGATGCTTTGGGTGGGACCTGGGTTTGCTGAAAATACCACCCCTGCCCTTCTCCTGCTGCTCCCCGGCGCTGTCTCTGCCCAGCACTGGAGCTGCCCACTGGATGACCTTGTCTGTATGCGTGGGCATGGCACCATGGGCAGCACCCCAACAAAGAGGCATGAGCTGGCTGCTGCTCACTGCCACTCCAAGAAGGCTCCCACACATTCGGTTTTGTGTCCTGTGGGACCCTGGATGGCAGAAGGAGCAGTGACCCCAAATGTCAGCCTGCTGCAGCATTTCCAGCCAGCTCCCTTCAGCACAGTGGGACTGCTCCATCTCAGAGCACTGACGGGTTTCTCACACCGGCATTCCAAGTGTTTATGGACTCAGTCCCTGTAAAATGGGCAGGAGGCTCTATCCCCTGGGCTCCCGAGATGCTGCCGTGCTCCAGGAGCACCTGTAGCCCTTCCTCCCTCCCTGCTGGGGCTCTCTGCCAGATGGCTTTGCTGCACTGCCCCAGCCCTGTGCATGCCTGCTGATCAGGGGAACAGCAGTGGGCAGGGTGCAGGCACAGCTCCCGTGGGGTGCAGGATCCAGGGCTGTGCCCCACAGCAGCCTTCCTGCTGAGATAGGCTTGCTGGGATTCATGGAGGTTTGCAGGGCACACAGCACCATGCTTTGGCTCACTCCTGGTGAAGCAGGCTGGGTGTAGCCCAAGGTCCGTGGGTTCTGGTAACCCAGCAGGGCCAGCCAGGACAGCCGAGGAGCCAGGAGGGGCCAGCAGGCACACAGCCCTGTGCAGGCAGGCTTGGCAGAGAGCACCATGTGGCTCAGTGGTGCCTTCTTTGTGAGAGTGGCCCTGGTCCTATGCCTGCTCTCTTGAGTGAACAGAACAATCTCTAGAAAGTCCATGGGGACACGGAGAGGAGGAGATGGCCAGGATCTGCTCCAGGTGGGTCACTCGGTGTGCAGTGCCATGCAGAGGCACCTGCTGCCCCAGCCGGGGTAGGAGCATTCCTGACACAGGAGGAGCTAGGCCAAGTGGTCCATGGGGACTGGCCGCAGGACTTGGCCAGCTGGAGGAGACTTGCAGGAGGGCAGTTTTCAGCTGCCAGCTGGCACAAAACCTGCCTTAAAAGGGATTGCAGCTGAAGTCATCTGTCCGAGCCAGTCAGAGGCCCCAAAGTGGCCTGGCACCGTGTAGGAGGGGGAGCAGGGCCACCAGAGGGGGGACAGGACATGTCCCCTATATTTCATCAGGGTGCCAGCTGCACCCCTCATGGTGTGGGGAAGGATCCTGGTCTGGGTAGCCCAGCGGGGTGCTCACCCAGTGTCTGGGCATGCATGTACTGGTGCCTCAGGGCAGGGAGAATGGGGAGGAGGCAGGGTGGAGGCCCTTGCAGGACATTCTGCCTCCCCTCCCATACTGCAAGACACTGTCTCAGCATCTCAGCATGACTCACGCCTCAGCCAGGAGCTGCTCCCGGTGACATCCTGCTGGCATGGGCGCTGCCCACCCTGCTGAGCCCAAGGCTGCCCTTGGAGCAGCATGGTGCCCCCCAGCCTGCAGTGGGGCTGCCAACTGTGGGATCACAGACCGGGACCACTGGCAGCAGCAGGGAACATCAGCAGGGGGATTGTGCTGAACGGGAGGCTCCTGGTGCCAGGTTGGGTCGTAAAGCAGTCTCAGCTGAACGTGAACTTCGCCTCCGGGCACAGCTTGCCGCCTCTCCTCCTGCACCCACGGGTGGGATCCGGTGTCGGGAGGGATGCCTCGCATTTCGGGAGGCAGTCACTAGGCGTCCTGGCGCTGGGTTTCACAAGCCCTCATGACCTTTCCAGCACAGCAACGTGCCCTGGGGAGGATTGTTTCATACAAAACAGACCTTTGGATAGGCTTTTCATTTCCTTCACAGCCAAGCACAAAGGAACAACAAGTCCTCCCTCCTAATAAAATGACAAAGTCAGTGACACAGATGGGCTGGCTCTCCACAGTGAGCGGCGCCGTGTGACGCACCCACGCCATTCCCAATGTCCTGCAAGAGCGGGGTTACAGTCCTGAACTCCCGCCTGCTTCACCCCGCACCCCAAAATTCCCCATGGACAGGAGACCCTGCCTGAGGCTCGACTTTTACGCTCCCTTGGGAGAAAAACGTATCTGTGCTCGGAGGGGGTGAGCCCAGGTGGGCAGCACCCCATGAATCTCTGTCTGGGAGTGGGGTTAAGTGAGAGATGCCAAGCACAGCTCCCGCTCGGAGCGGGACTCTCGGCCACCCCCCAGCACACGCGTGGGCCGGGGCCGGGGTGCGGAGGGGACAGGGCTGTGTGTGGGGCAGCGGGGGTGCGGGGCTGTGCTCTGCGAAGGGCGCAGGACGTGCAGCTGGAGGGGCTGCGGGGCCAAGGGCTGCGGAAGGTGTAGGGCTGGAGGGGGCGCAGGACCCCGTCTCGGGAGCCCTCGCAGGGCCGTGCCCCGGGCTGTCCCTCCAGCTGCGGGCGGGGCGCACATCTGGGCGGGGCGGGGCGCACATCTGGGCGGCGCTGGCGGGGCGGGGCAGGCGAGCAGTGACTTCGGCGGGGCCGGCGCGGAGCATCCCACAGGCGGTGCGAGAGGAGTCCCGAGCCCAGCCGAGCCGACACCATGCCCAAGTGTCCCCGCTGCCAGAAGGAGGTCTACTTCGGTAAGGGCTTCCTGCCCCGACCAGCCGCCCCCACCTCGGGGCACCTGCCGGGCACCGATCCCGGGCTGTGGGTCCTCTGGGCACCCCGGCTTCTGCCCCCCATGCTGAACACCCCATCACTGCAAATTCCTGGGGTATCCCAGAACTCCTCAGCCCTGCGCTGTGGGTCCCCGGGGTGCCCCGGGGTGGGTGATCCTGTAGATCCACCCCCAAGGAGATGCCTGGCTGCAGAGCACGGGCTGCGCTGGGTGCTTCCAGAGCAGCAAGGGAGCCCAGCCCTTCCTTCCCAGCACAGCCCGCAGCCCTGAGCCGCTTTGGAGCCCAAAGGGCCAGCTGGTAAAGCCCCCTGCTCTGAAAGCCTGGGCAGGTGAAGCAAGCACCTTCCCAATGGCAAATCCTGCCCTCGGGCAAGTGCCTGGGTCAGTGGGTCGCCCACACGTTGCTCTGCTGTGCTAAACCTAGCGCAGCAGGATGACACCTCTGGGCGCTATTTTTAAGTCGCCGTTGCAGGGTAGGTGTGAGCCTTGTTGAGCTGCTGTCTGCTGCTGGGCTTCCCGCAGGTGTCTTCCCTCCAAACTGGGGCCCCAAAGCTCCTGCCCCTTCTGGGGCCATGGACCTGCTGTCCTGTCTGAGGGTATTTGTGGGGTTTGAGCTTCTCACTTTGCTATCAGCTTTTGGAATGGGCAGGTTCCTTTGCCAAACCTCTCCTGGCACAGCTGAACTTGAGACTTGCTTGGCATAGCTGAACTCGAGGGGTTTTGCTGGGAGCAGCTTAGAGACACTTCCTGCTTTCTGACTTACTCAAGATGAGGGATCTGGAACTGAGGTGCCATCCCTGACTTCTTTCTCTACTTTATTTCCTGTGCCCCAACTATTTGTGCTCAGCCAAGGAGTTGGAGACTCAAACACAGGAGCTGCTCTCTGTGCCTGTCAGCGGTGCTCACCCTGGGGAGCTGTGCTGGGGCTGGTGTGGGCGCTGCCCAGAGCTGCTGGGGCTGTGGTTCCTGCGGCTGGGGAATGTTCCCTTGCCTTGAACTCACTGCTTGCAGCCAGGCTTTGGGATGGCGGTTCAGGCACAATAGAGTTTGTGGCTCCCTCCTGCGACTCAGGCTCCTGGCGTGCCTCATTTACCTGTGTGCCTTGATATCAGGAGGCACCGAGGCGCTGGTGGCAGCGTGTGCCTTTCCCTTGGGTCTGGGTCAGTCCTGGTCGGGACGCGCTGGGTTTGCTGTGCCCACAGGTGTGGCCATGGAGGAGCAGGGATGGCACCGTTTGATCAAGGAGGGGTTTGACCTTGCACTTATCATGCTTGCAATTATTACGAAATGTGTCTGTTGATGCAGAGGATGAGGAGGACTCAAAAGCTGTTGGAGGACCAAGCAGGATGCATGATTTCTGCGCCTGCAGATTATCCAGAGCGTTGGCAGAGGAGGCAGAGCAAGCCTGGCTCTGGGGCACCCTGAGGCTTTTGGAGCCTGGCGGTCCTGCTTGGGCGTGCCTCAGGCTGCTCTCAGCTAAATCGTGTCTGTAGAGAGCAGGGGTGGGGAGGAGGTGATGCTGAGAGGACTAGAGATGGGGTTTGCAGGAATTTTGCCTTCATGCCTGAATGCTGTAACGAGCCTTAGCAGAGCTCCTGCCCAAGTGCTGGTGCAAATGCATTACAAGAGGTGGGGAGGCTGTGCTTCTTGCAGAAACCCTGTGATAGGAGGGTCCTGCCTCGGGCCAGGCTCAGGCTCCTAGGGGCACCCGGGGGAGGACACTGTTGCTGCTGCCAGGCTGTGGGCACAGGAGGCCCTTTGTGCCACTGGGGAATGGCAGCAGGGCTGCCTTGTGACATTTGGGCACTGCCCCCACTCCCACCTCTGCAGCCACCAGCTCTCCTTGCACAGGCTGTTGTGGGCATATTTAGGCTCCAAAAAGGTGCTTGAGGCTGCCCAGGGCTCCCCAGGGCATGCACTACCCACACTGGCTTGGTCCCATTTGCAGGCATGGGGACAGTGTTCAGACCTGGCTTTGACATGATTCCTGTGGACAGCTCTGTTTAATCACTTAATAAATTTCCAGGAGCTCGGCTGCCAATATGAAGAGCACACATGCCTGCAGAAAATACCCTTCTCCCCTGCTGTGCCCCAATTAAAAGGCCCCCTGTGCTCCCCCCTCTCTCCACAAACATGTCCTGGCTCCCATGTTGTCCCTCCCATGGCTGCCTGAACCCCTGCCCGGCTCCAGCTCTGCTCTGGTTTGCCATGCTGCCAGCAGAATCCGAGGTGTGGCTGGAGGGGACCGGTTTGTGTTGGCAGGGTGTGGCAATGGCTTTGCCTCCCCAGTCCTTGCCAGCATCCCCTTTCACCCCTGCCAGCTCTAGTGATTTCTTGGGCTCCAGCTCACTGGGGAGAAATTAATCCCCTTGCAGGCTGATGTTGGAAGGAGGGAGGTCCTCGGGTCTTTGGAAGATGGGGTAGAAGTGAGTCCATCCTCATGGATGCAGCCCTGCTCACCCTGGGCGTGGCACCACTGCTGTGGATCCATGTTCCTGCATGTGCACGGCATTGCGTGTGCACACTTGGGTCTGAACGCAGTGCCCTCTGTCCTGGACAGACAGACTTGAGAAAATGCCCAAAAATGTCCTCCCTAGGGCTGACGGCAAGGCAGCCAATATGCCAAAACTAACTTGTGCTTGTTCAGTGCCTTAACTCACCCATCTCCTTTCCATGGCAGCCGAGAAGGTGACTTCTCTGGGGAAGGACTGGCACCGGCCCTGCTTGAGATGTGAGAAGTGTAACAAGACCCTGACGTCTGGAGGCCATGCAGAGGTGAGGTCTGCTGCCCAGCGGGTCTGGGTTTGCTGCACCTGAGGGCTGGGACAAGCAGAGGTGGGGCTGATGCTCTTTCTCTCTCCCTGCAGCACGATGGCAAACCCTACTGCAACCACCCCTGCTACGCTGCCTTGTTCGGGCCCAAAGGTGGGTGCCTGTGGCGGGGTCATGGAGGGAGTGAGGGGGCTCGGGGCTCCTGTCTCCTGGCGAGCTCCGGCCCTCGGTGTGCTCACCGTCCCATGGCAGTGCTGACCCCGCTCTGTCTCTTCCAGGGTTCGGCCGGGGAGGAGCTGAGAGCCACACGTTCAAATAAGCCTCAGGTTGGTCCTTCCCTCGGAGCTCCCCTCCTGTCTCTGGCTCCATGGGCTGGCTGGGGCTGTCCTCCCTCAGGCCAGTGGGGAAGGCAGGCCTGCCACAGCATCCCTCTGGGCTCGCTGTGACTCCCAGCCCTTGCACCAGGGCTCAGGAGCTGCTGCCAGCTGCTCCTCTCCTCCAGCCCCAGCTGACTGTCAGCAGCCGCTTGGCTCCGGCACCGGGTGCCAAAAGCTCTTGCTTTGTGACCCGCTGGCAAAGACAGGATCTGTCCTGGAGCACCGCTGTCCCTGGGATATCTCTGCTCCCAGCCCAGCCTGACTTCATCCACTCCTCTTTTCCATCCCTCTCCAGGTCTGACGTCCAGGATTCCCAGCACAACCTGAAGACAGCACAAATACACCGCAACAGACATGCATTTTTGTTTTTAATTCACCCTGTACTAGACTAGCACGTTCAAAGCAATAAGTAACCAAGGCTGGGCTGGTGTGGAGAGAGGCTGTGCTCCAGATGGAGTGAGGCCAGGGTGGGGACGTTGGGTTGCCCTGCCGGGTAGGAAATTTGGCTGATATTGCTGAAGGCTGCCTGGAGAGGAGACCGCGCCCTTCCAGCCAAAGCCTAGCTCTGCTTCAGGCATCCAGCTCTCGTGGCTGGGCCCACAGTTGTATTCTCAGTCTTTAATAAATGAAAAGATGCTTTCCTCCTGTAGCAGCTGTGCTCTCTGTAACAGGAGTCCCACGGGACCCGCTCGTGAAGCGCTTGCCACCTGCTTGATACCCCTGTGGCCTTTGGATTGAGCCCCACACTGTGTGATGGCCCCACGTGCCCTCAGCTGGGGCAGAGATGTGTCTTGCTGGGGGAGGATTGACTGTCACATCAGGACAACCTGGTATTTGCTGCTTTTGATCTGAGCAGCCACCTGAACAGGCTCAGGGAAGCGCGAGGTTGCTGCTGAGGCAGAGCCAGCCTCCCCTGGCAGGGACAGCAGAGCTGTGGTGTTAGAAAGCAGGAGCTGGCTCAAGAGCTTTGCTCTTTTGTGTTTCAATGTTTGTGCCCTACTGGAAACATGGATGACAGATGTCAAAGATGTCAACTTGAGGAATGTTTCTAAAATGATTTCTTAACCATGTCTTCCCTTAACCTGAACAACTCCATTTACATATTCAGAGATATCTCATCAGCCACTGGGATATTTTTGTCTACAGTTTATGCATGCATTTCCTTAGAAGCTGCTCTGCATTTTACTGTCACATCAGCCTTCCTGGGACTTGGCCAAAGCCCTCAGGGGTTAGAGACACATGTCCAGTGTCAAAATCCTTGGTGTCAGAAGCAGCCTGATCTGATAAGCATCTTAAAACTTCCAATTAAAGCTTGCTTGATGCTGCGAGGCGCTGCCTCGCCTCCCACCCCAATAGCACAACAAACACAGGCGTCTGTGTCAAAGGCAAGCCCTGGCTATTGCTGCTCAGCTGTCATCAGACTTCCCTTCCCAGCAACCAGGGCTCGTAGGGACCTCCTGCTCCCACTGCTGCCTTTGCCAGCAGCCTCCCAGGGGTGCCAGCAGCCTCCCGGGGGTGCCAGCACCCATGGACCTGTGGCTCCTGGCCATCCACAGCCGTCCCTTTCTGCCAGCCTGCCTCTGGGCACTGGGACATGGCTTTCCCCTGCCAGCTGAGCTTCAAAGCAAACTAGTGATAGAATCTCAGCAGCCTGACTGTGCCACTGAGATAGTGTTTTCCCTCAGGCATTTAAAGTAATGGCAAACACAAGCCCTGTCATCCTCAGGGTTGCATAAGTGTGTCCATTGGAAAAGGACCTGTGGATTTGGCTCAGGGTCCTTCCCAGCAGGACCTTGCACTAAAATTTCAGAAGCATCTGATTCCAAGTACAAGGGGCCAGGCCAGCAGGGATGAGGAAGGAACCAGTGAAAGGTATGGAAAAGCAGGGGCTGCACAGGGGGAGGCTGGGGTGATCCAGCCCTTTTCACTGGCAGTGGCTGCAGCTGGGGCAGGAGGCAGTGTTCTGCTGTTTGCTGTATGCCGCTGTTTGCAGTGTGTGCTGCCCAGGGCTCCCTTTTGCTTTTGTTCCTGGCCATGGATTTGCAGTGTACTTGTGGTGGCTGGGGACATCTCTCCCTGACCTGAGTGCATGCAGGGATGCAGGAACTGAGCTGTGCCAGGCCTGGGCTGTGCCAGGCAGCTGCAGCTAAGCTTGATCCTGCAGGTGCCTCCCTCTGTGCTGCAGAGGGAATATATGTGTGCATTAAAAAAACAGGGGTCCCTCAAGCATGGGCTGGGGACAAGCCCCTTGGTATTGATTGCCAAAATCTCCTTCTTAGAGTCCTGTTTTTCTGCTTGCCCTGCAGTAAGAGCTCCCACCGAGATGGCTTTTAGCCCCAGGACTTTCTGCTGGGATATTCATCTCCAAGAGGCGTGCTTGTACAAGCCACACTCTCTGCCTCATCCAGCCTCGATGCTGTGAGGTTGGGCAGTTCAGGCACAGGTCACATCCACAAGGAGCCTTGGTCAAAATAAATATATGATAAATTGATTTTTTAAAAACTCGCTTTGGTCTTTGGAGAGGAAGCAGAAACAGCTGTGTCTCATTTGGATAGGAAATCCACGCCTGAGCCAGGCCTCCCCTGGATGCTCAGTGAGGCTCGGCAGTGGCCGGCGCGCCAGGGAGGTGGGCTGTCAGCAGACACAACCTTTTCTCCTTTTGAACAGTAAATCTCTGTGGCCTGGAGTGTGACTGCACAGACAGCAGTGTGCTTTCCAGCGCCTCTCATCTGTGATGCTTTTGGTTCTGAGCCTTGGCAGGAGCTTGGGACAGGCAGGACAGTCCCTTCCCTCCCAATGTGGTGATGTCCTGGCTGTGCTGCTTCTGCAGCAGGGAGAGCAAGATGCTGCGGGCAAATCCCAGCTTTCTGCCCATCTGGGACAGCAAAAGTTGTTGGGTTATTTACAGCATGGGGATGCCCAGCACAAAACTTCCCTGCTTTGGTGACCTGAAACGCCACCGTTGGTGACCCTGAAGAAAGGGGCTGTGCTTCCTCTGCCGTTATTTCCCAAGCTGGGGCTGAGATCAGTCTGTGGGTTGTGGAGTGATAGTTGCTATAAACACTTCATCACTGTGACAAAAAAACAAACAACATCACAGTTCCTCTGGCAGCTGGGTGTGGGCGAGCCCCAACGCCCTGGGTAGGGAAGCAGAAGAGATTTTGGCAAAGACATAAAACAGGATGGGTTTTGAAACTTAACTGCTGCTGCTCCCCATCCCAGCTTTGTGACTTTCTGAATGGAAGAGAAAAGGAGAGGGGAACAGAAAGGGGGCTGGGGGGCCCTTCAGCCATGGGGGCACAGTGCAGGCAGGAATGGCCAGTGAGGGTGATCTGATCCTGTGTCCTCCTCTCAGCACAGATTGACAGACCTTAATCTCAAGCAGGGGACAGACGCTTCCCTGTGCCTGCAGCTGGCAAGGGAGGTAGCTCAGGCTGGAAGTCCTACAGCAGGGTTCTCCTCAGGGTCATGCTTAGGGAGGGCAGCAGGCTCAGCCCCTGGATAGGGCTGTGTTCTAGCAGTGTGGCTGCAGCCTTCAGGTCACATCTGGACTAACATCTGCTGGATGCCCAGGTCAAAGCTACCTTGCTGGGGCACCAACAGGACCACTCATCCTCTCCTGCCAACACTGATGGGGACACTGATGTGACACTTCTACCACTTCCCTTGAGGTGGTTTATGCAGCCTCTGGCTGGGGGAGAGTGGCACAGGGGCTGTGGCTGCAGGAGCTTCCTGCTCTGTGCTGTGCCAGAGCTCATGGGGATGAAGCCGGGCTGGATTGGGTGGTATCCAGCACGCCACCACTTTGGGGATTTTTAAGGCTGATTTGTGTTAAGCTCAAAGAGCTCTGCTATCTTTTAGGTCAAAAAAGTGTCTGCCCATCTCCTAACGCCTCAGAAATCTGCCTTATGCAGACAGTGGGGTAAGAGGGGCCGTGCAGCGGATGTCAGGCAGCAGGAACTCTGCCAGATCGCGGGGGGAGATGGGACTTCCCATCCAGCTCTGCACAGCAGTGGTTTGGGGAACCCCCATCTCAGCAACGGAAACAGCTCTGCAGGTGAAAAAGGGGGGAGGTCAAACCTTCTTCCTGATGGGGAACAACACCTCCAGCAAACACTGAAGATACTGAAGGCAGAGGGACTCTGGGTATGACAGCCGGTGGTGTAACAAGCAGTGAATGGGAGCATGAACTGAGGTCCTGGAACCTGAGGTCTAGCTAGGGAGCAAGGAGAGGAGGGCGCAGGCTGCTCCACTCTCACCCTTCCTGCTGCTGGTGATCCAGTGCAAGAGAGCAGCTGGGTGCAGAAAGCCCTGGGGGTGTTTATCAGGTCCTGGGTGGCTTGCCCAAGCAAGGAGCAGAAGCAGAAAAGTTGACATCAGACACTAGAGCTGAATTTGGCTTTCACACCTCTTGTGTTATTTTCAGTGAAACAGGGAGAGTTTCCAAGAGGGAAGGGCGCAAGGACTTCCCACTGAAGCCTCTGTCTTCTTTTGGTGAGTCTTGTGTTAAAGGCCCTGGGGGAGGAGGTCAGAGGGAGTTTCCCTCTGTGCAGAGGAACTTGGCTATTAGAGTAAAAAGGCTGAAACTCCCAAGAAGAAAGTTGCTGAGACCTCAGACCTCTTTTCTAATTGTTCCCAATTCACTTATCATACTGAAAGCCCTGCATCAGAGGGTCTCAAACACCAACACCTTTCTTAACCACCCAAATGCTGGGAGCTGACCTTGAATTTTGGTGGTAGAGCCCACACACAGGCATGCTCCTAACTGCCTGTGTCCAGGAAAATCTGCACCAGAGCATTTGTGGAGTCATGACAGCACTGCTGCAGTCCATCTATGCAGGCAATCCGTGTTCACAGCCCTGTGCTTGCTTGGCTCCTTTCTGCCAGCACCATGGCCATGCTGCCAGGTCATGCCTTTTCCCACTCTGCTTAACCTGATGTCCCAGCGAGGGAAGAGCAAATGTGTATGAAAGGGCCAGGAGGGTGCAGGGAAGGAGCTGGAAATGTTTGCAGTGGAAAGCGGCGCAGCCTGACCTGCTCAGGGTGTGAAACACCGGCCACCCAAGGCTTCCCTCGAGCAGGCAGGGAGGGAAGCTGTGCTCTGCTCTGATGGCTGCTCAGCAGATACCACACCGCAGGAAGGAGAGGGAAAGGAGAGGGGAAGAAGAGAGGTGAGGAACTCCGGCCACCCGAGCTGGTGGTGGAGCGCAGGAAGCACTGAAGCCTGGCTTGGGGGCCTGGCCAGGAGACAGGCTGGCTCCCGCCCACGCCTTCACGGGGATAAAAGCATTAAGAAAAAACCCCAAAAGACCAAAGAAATTGTTGTTGCAGGAGGAGAGCTCACACCTTGCCCTTGGCAGAGCGGGCTGAGGTGACATCAGGGAGCGGGCAGGGATGGCTGCTATCGCATACAATCGGCATGAGGCAATGGGACAGGGCCACCGTCATCACCTCTGGCAGCCCTGTGGTGCACGCAGCAGGGCCGTGTTGGTGGCGAGTTGCCATGGCACGGGTGCAAACAGGCGCCCTTGGCCTCACTGAGTCACCCGGCACGGCAATGACTGCAGCTGACACATTGCACCGAAAATGGAGGCTGTGTGGCTGTGTGGCACCACGCAGGCCCAGGAACCCAGAAAGGGCA